GTTCTGATTATTGGAGTCCTTGGTGGAATGATGTCTTCTCTACTCTCGAATCTCAAAATCATACCGGCTTGCCGCACTAAGGCAGAAATCTTAGCCGCACAGATGCAGAAGGCTGTCATTCTTGGCTCACTGCGTTTGCTCAGGGCACATGATTCTCGGACCCAATGATCACTTACCCCACGGTGTGGGGAGTGGTCATTGGTTGATAATGCTGGTGCGCCCTCCCGAATGTATCGGGGCTTCGGGGGATAGGGCCTGACCAGCGCACACTACTGTGAAAATAATAATAATAATAAATGTATTCAGTTCTATTGAAATATACATTTATTAACAGTTTAATTAATTGAATGATGGTAATTGAAATTACCATTTCCCACTTAGTGTCTATAATGCTTTCTACTGCTGCCTTTTGCGGAATGAAAATTTTTATTGAATGAATATGAGCTGAGTTATCCGAAGAAAACACTCTTAAAATCGAGTAGATGAAACAGGGAGTAATATGTAGTTTGGGCTACTTGTTAGCCAAGTACATATCTAATTTTTTATAAATGCAAAAACTCTTTGATAATTCTCCACATAGAGCATTTATATGTTCTGGCCAGCTTACGTCTACTTTCATTAAAAAACAGATGATTGCTTTCAAACCAAACTTTAGCTTGATTCAGACCTCTTTCACACATGGCTTCGGGATATTCCTGTTCATGAATTCTTACACCAATTATTGTATCATCAGCAAATAGAACAGAGATGGNGGTATTTTGATGACAATTCTTAATAATTTCATTAAGGCTATTAATATAAAACGAGTTTAGGTTGTTCACAGATATTTCTGGATGTCTTTTGCCACACAATCTTGGTATAACTAGGACAATCTAAATCTAAGACACTTTTTTCTATTGATCATTTTTGAGGATTTTTTTTTACCAATTTTCATGGTGCTTTGTTTGTCATTTTGTCCAATAAGCAACTTTCCTGTGCTTACTTTTACAAAAAAAAAATGTTTCTCATTGTCCAAATGAGGTATTTTGGCATTGACTAAATAATATGGACTGGCTATTGAAGAGACTATTGAGCTATTGAATCCAACAACAAAATATGTAGAGATCCACTTTTTGGTATCTACCTCACTCAAATTTCAGATATCAAGATGTTTCGTGTGTTGCATATTTTCATTGTGTACTTAAATAATTATAATATCAATCAAGGCAAATAAGATTCGGGAGGTTATATAATATTCTTAATTTCATTATGAATGGATATTAATGATGACCAAGTATACAGCCCAAAACACTTACAATGTATTCTTGAGCAATTTAAAGTGCTGTTACATAGTTGTCGACAGTTTGTGTGGAATGTATGTGAAAGTGATGGTCAGTACATATTATTATGTCAATGGTTTTTGATGACCTCTCTGAGAGCCATTTTGACTTTTCCCATGTCAAGTTTATGTTTAACAAAAAAAATATTTATATACTCACTTATTATATTGGGGTAGAGCACATGCTAGAATTATAAATGTCATTCCAATGGATCCAGCAAATGCCAAGGAAACCAGACTGAAAACATGACGGAATGAAATAATGGAAGAACATATACATATTGTAATACTTACGCTGTTGCAGAAAAAGTAGACATTCGTGAAATAGCAGCATGAAAAATAAAAACAAGTATAACTGAGGTGATCAGAACCTTTTGAAATGAGAAAATTTTTAATATTATGTGGGGAGGGTTTTATATGGACCATTGCCAAAACAGTTATAATCTTGATGAAAGATAAATCACAAACATTGAACAATTTTCTACAGAATATGATTTTCCATGAAATGGGAATTTAGGAAATGGGCATGTTATGAAAATGAAAATTTCAAAATCAATTCGCGATTCATTACTTTTTCATATAATTTCATTTAAAAATGTTTCAGATATAACGAGAAACATTTTACATGACTTTCAAATGCTGGAAATATAAAATCCAACTATTTTGACAATGGCTCATATATAACATTGTGATAGTTCTTTGTTTCAAATAGAAATTATTTCTAAATTAGGCTTTTATGCTTAAACCTGATATAGAGTTTGTGAACATAATATGAATCATAAATTATATTTATGGGTGATTCTCATTGATTTTTCTCAATTATAATTACAGTCAAATCTCACCTTTTATCCCTGCCATTGTATACTTCAATATATAATGTTCTCATCAAATCGTTCGATATTTATTGGATCAAAAATTCAACATTCTTTCAAATTTAAGAAATAATTTTAGAAAAATAGATATGAAAAATAAATAATTTTATTTTTTACTCTAATGTCAAATTATACTCCCAGTAAATCCACTGTTGCAAACAGTGTTGCCAGAGACAAAGACCAAAAACAGTTTGCTACCTCAAAGAAATAGTACCATCTGTTTAAAGCGCAGCCTTACTTGTCAGAATTTCAAAAATAAAATTGCGAATAAAAAGGCTGGCACAAATAGGTAATATATTTGAAACGGATAGAAATTGATGCCCGAGATAATTTATTTTAATTTTTTCAATCAAATTATTATCAGTTCTGCAAAAAATTGAAAGTTTCTGCAAAAAGTAAAAGAAGGTTTAGTGTTTGTATCAATTATAGAAATTGTAGAATTCAGAGAGTCTACTACAATCTTATCAGATAGATGAGGATATATGATTCTAACCAGATCGTAACAAATATTTCAGCTATTTTCGAGACATGAGTTCGAATATAAGTAACTTCTAGGAAAGATGATATCGTTCATCGATGATAGTAAGCACTAAATTCTCAGAAATATTATTGCATTGAAACAAGCAGAGTCGAATACTCTTCAAAATTGAATGTTCACTTCTTGTGAACTTTTGAAAATCGAATATCTATTCGAGAACTTCATATACAAGAACATACCTAACACGATATGCTTCTCGAGTCTAATTGAATACACAGAACTGAAATATGTCTCAGTTTCGTGATCAAAAACTGACTGGAATGAATTCGAATGTTATTATTTCTGGTATTATGGCTATCTCGAGTTACATCTAATTTATCTACAAGCATTTTGTGAATCTAATGTATCTACAAGCATTTTTTTAAAACTATATTGATAAATCTTATCCTCTCAAACGTGTCTGAAAACTGTGTGTTTCTTGAGACTAATAAAAATTATTATTATTATTGTTTTCTAATTTACACGTATACGTAGCTACACCAGTTTATGAATATATTATTTCTGTTTATCCAAATATCAAATAAAATAGACAATTCGATTCCGTCTCTGTTGAATGGATCGCTAACAACTGATCACTTGAGTATCAAGAACTCGCACATTCGTCTGAAGTTTCGATGGATTTCGATTCTGACTCGAGAATTTTCGAAGAAGAATTGAATACATACAATTCTCAATATTCAAATGGTCCCATCACTAAAAACTTTCGCATGAGTTCAAGAATCACACGTTGAGAGGTAAGACCTCGTTAATCTTTAGCTCGCACAAGTTTCGACTTCTGAGGGTCGTCGTTCGTAGGGGTGCAACAGCTGGTTAACGGAAAAACAGATTTTTTTAAACAGATCTATTTTTGACCCTTCGTAAAATCAATATATGTTTAATCTGTAATAATTTTCAGATTTTACATCGTGTTTAGCTAAAAGTTACTGAGGTTTGGATGTAAATATGAAAGCGCACGTTTATAATGCGAAGGGTCGAAATTAGATCTACAGTTGGCAACACCGAGTCAGAGCAACGAACAACCCAATTTTATGCATATCACCTTCACCTTACTTTGCTGTATGCTGTATTCTGTCTCTCGTCAAGTTGTATAAATTGGCAAAAAGCTACGTCATTCCATTGTCAGTCTAACGATCGTCATCATTATTAGTTCTTGGTGTGAAAAACTTGTGAATATCCAGTTATTAAGATTTCTTTGGAATCTCTGTGATCAACTTTAGCATAAGTTATTATTAATATTTCCGTATAATAATATCCAACAATGGCTGAAGGAAAAAGGTAATAACAAATTTCTGTTAACACGGCACGGCCGGTTGCTTCGATATAGTGAAATTTTTGTCATCATGGTGGAACACTAGAATATTCTCAAGTAATCATTTAATATTTTCATGTTTATTCCGTTCTAAGTATTCTAAACTTCGTTCAGAGATCATTCATTTATACAACTCCATTTTGTTTTTCAGTCAAGTGTTGCTTAATCGAAATGTATTTATAAGTTTCCCATAATTTATGTGTCTTTTCTTGAATATAGTCCCGACGATCTGGCCACTGCAATTCTTCGTAAAAAGGACCGTCCAAACAGGCTCTTGGTCGAAGAAGCTGCCAACGATGACAATTCCGTTGTTGCATTATCACAAGCTAAAATGGACGAGTTACAGCTATTCAGGGGGGACACAGTATTACTCAAAGGCAAACGAAGGAAAGAAACAGTCTGTATAGTCCTTTCCGATGAGTCCTGTAGTGACGAAAAAATCCGCATGAACAGAAATGTTAGGAACAACCTTCGTGTCCGTCTCTCAGATGTTGTCTCCATCCAGCCTTGCCCAGATGTAAAATATGGTAAAAGGATCCATGTTCTGCCCATAGATGACACAGTTGAAGGCCTCACAGGGTAAGATACAATTTTTATGTGCACTATATAATAATTGTCCATTCAGGATGTGTTTCTTGTTACCATTTGTTTAGAAATAATCATTGTGTTCTGGTATTGAAGTTGTGTTACTCAAAATCAAAAGAACTTTTTTCTTGTGAATAATAATAAAATTGAGAGTTTGGTACAGAAATAATTTATGAGTGTGCAACCATTCTAACGAGTTCAACTTATTACTTATTGAAGTGAGTTTCAGACAAGATAAAATAATTCTCATTGGATGATGTTGCAACTTTTGGGGTCTGTAACTCTCATTTAGTTTTATCAATTGGTTTTCTGTATTTCTAATTTCTCTTGGGAGAGATTGATAAGCTTTTATGGCTTTGTAATGCGGTCCTTTTTCAAAAAATGATGAATTATGTCTTGGTATGCTTACTTCATTCTTGTGTCTGGTATTTATAGTCATTTGGTTTGAGTAAAGATCACAGTTTCTCATGAAGATACTATAATGTTTTTCGACAAACATGACCAATTGCAGAAAATAGATGAAGGAACTGTTAATATGTCTAGCATCTTGGTCTACATGTTGATCTATGAGGTAGTTTTAACACACAGCGAATTATCCTTTTTTGAGTTTTGAAGATTTTATATGACTGTGTAGATGATCCCCAGAAAATATATCCGTATTGAATAATAGTATCTAATGATACTTGATCTCTTAGTGCACGGATTATACCTACTGTAGTACCCAGTCTAGAGTTCAGTTTATTTAGATGGATGTCCCATGTAAGATTATTTTCCACTGTGACCCCTAAGAATTTAATATCACTTATTTCAGGAATAGATTTGTTAAGCAATTTGGCATATATCGATTTTAGCCTATTTTGGGATTTGCTGAATGTTATAAGCCCTGTTTTTCCTGTATTATTTATAATAAATTGAAATAGTTACAAAAGAACAATATATAAAAGAAGTGCATGTATTGATTAAAAGATTATAAACTATTAGAAACAATTTTTAAACAGCTGATTGTACTGTCAATGAGAAAATGTATTTAAGATTGTTTTACAACTGCTAATAATAATTATTCAACTAAACTACTTATAGGTAGATAGAAACCAAGTTCAATTGACTACTTCGTTAAAATAATAATTAATGAAGTTGAATAAGGTAAATGTCCATTCATGAAGAAGGCGAGTGTGGGTTATTGTGAATTTTCATGTGAAGTACCTTTTTGTAGTGGATAGTACCTGTGATTCACTGGTACTTCCCCCAATAAAACAATGGAATATAGAGAGCAAAAGCAATAACAAATTTGTTGAATGCTATCAACAGAGATAACTTTCAGTTATAAAGATATTGTTATTCTGTTGGTTCATGAAGTTGAAAATTACAATTTTGCATGATTATTTTTCCAATGGAATGTTTACAGATTAGTAATTTATATGCATATTTTTTTATTGATATCAACTTTAATTATGTACTTGACAAAAAGTTTTCACACAACATTCTCCCAAAAGAGGTCATTGTAAGACATTTGAGAAAAATAGTTGTAATTCAGGGACTGAATCTGGAAATCATTTGAAATTATTTCTGTGACTGTTTTGTGATTCGAAGCATTATTTTATTATTATTTTAAAAATTCCAGAAACCTCTTCGAAGTCTACTTGAAACCCTACTTTTTGGAAGCGTATAGACCCATCCACAAAGACGATGTCTTTGTCGTTCGTGGTGGTATGAGAGCAGTAGAATTCAAAGTAGTTGAAACGGATCCTGCCCCCTACTGCATAGTAGCTCCCGACACTGTCATCCACTGCGATGGAGATCCAATCAAACGAGAAGAAGAAGAGGAGGCTCTCAATGCCGTCGGCTACGATGACATCGGAGGATGCAGGAAGCAGCTAGCGCAGATCAAGGAGATGGTGGAGCTCCCGCTGAGACACCCGAGCCTGTTCAAGGCTATCGGCGTGAAGCCCCCTAGGGGTATACTGCTGTATGGTCCCCCTGGTACGGGTAAGACCCTGATTGCTCGCGCCGTGGCTAATGAGACTGGGGCGTTCTTCTTCTTGATAAACGGGCCGGAGATCATGAGCAAACTCGCTGGCGAGTCTGAGAGTAACTTGCGCAAAGCTTTTGAAGAAGCTGACAAAAACTCTCCGGCGATCATCTTCATCGATGAGCTGGACGCCATCGCCCCGAAGCGTGAGAAGACTCACGGGGAGGTCGAGCGCCGTATAGTGTCGCAGCTGCTCACTCTTATGGATGGCATGAAGAAGAGCTCACATGTCATTGTCATGGCTGCCACAAACAGACCAAATTCCATCGATCCGGCCCTGAGACGTTTCGGCAGGTTCGACAGGGAGATTGATATCGGTATTCCGGATGCAACAGGCAGATTGGAAGTTTTACGTATCCACACAAAGAATATGAAACTGGCCGACGACGTGGATTTGGAGCAAATTGCCGCCGAGACACACGGTCATGTGGGTGAGTAGAATTTATTGGTTTTTTCAAGAGGTTATCCCATTTATTGGAAGTCGAACAATATAGACAACAATAGACAGAACGACAGCCTTCATTTGGTCATATAATAATAATACTAATTTATTGCACATATTACATAAAACAAAGCTGAAAATACTACATCTGTTACGTCATATGCTGCTGTCTTCTGCAGTTCCATACAACCTCAAAATTCCCAACAGTCTCAATAAGCATATAAATTTACCCACAAACATTTTTATCATCAGGTGCTGATTTGGCTTCGCTGTGCTCTGAATCTGCTCTCCAGCAAATCCGAGAAAAAATGGACCTCATCGACTTGGAAGATCTCAAAAATTACGAGTAACTCAATAAAACTTTGGTCTAAATTACACTAACACTCAATCCTAATATAACTCCATTCACATCCTTAATCGTGAATAAATCTTTCCAATTGTTCATTGAAGATTTGAGTTGGATTTTCAGTTAGGTTGCACCTGCAAATTTTGAAAAAAAAAGAAACTAATTACGTATTTCAACATGTTGATTATGGACCAGAAAGAATGAAAAACTTTTTTTCAATGATACAAACATGCAGAAAGATCGTTCTTCATTTATATTACACAATTGTCATACTATATATTCAAGACAACAAAGTGTTTCAATCGACACTTCGAAATGTCGTTTATGGTTAATCAACAGTTCAAACACTATCAAAAAAACTTTTCTCACACCAGAGCAAAAGTAATGCCACTCTACGCACGTTTCCCTATAAAATTTATTGTTATAAAGAGATGACTAAAAATAAATTTTTATTAAACAGCAAAGGTCCCATTCTAAACACTCAGTTGTTTACTCGTATGTGACAGTACAGGTATAACAATTTAACACAATAAGTTATACCAGGAATTAATTTAATGACACTCATTAGGTAAGGGATGATTTTTCGATGTATATAAATTAACGTAACCTTGAAAATTTTGTTTTAGTTATCTTCTGGTGATGCCAATTTGGTTGTCAAAACGCACGTAGAGGGACAATCTTTTTTATTCTGGGGTGGAAAAAGTGTTTTTGATGATTTCCTCAAACTATCAACCTTAGTTAATCAAAACTTTGAAATGGGGCTGAAAAAACCCTGTGGCCCTTCGGTGTCATTGTCAATACTCACATTGTAACTTTTATTTTCTTCTTCAGGCTAGATCTGCAGCTCCTTGTGTATTGTTCTTTGATGAATTGGATTCCATTGCAAAATCGAGAGGTGGCAACGTAGGCGATGCAGGTGGTGCAGCAGACAGAGTTATCAATCAAATTTTGACAGAAATGGACGGAATGGGTGCCAAAAAGAACGTATTCATCATTGGTGCAACGAACAGACCTGGTGAGTTTTTGCTTTTTTTCTTCCATTGTAGCTATTTAAAATTGCAGTATATTTATTTTACAACTCTAAAGAAATCAAGTTTTACCCTCTCAGTTTAACTCTCTATGGGATTATTACTCACTTATTTCGGAGTAATTGCTCTCCATCACTACAGTGTAGGTCATATCAAGACTTTGAACCTGTCTTCAAATTTGATATTGATATATTTTCTCTTCTAGATATCATCGATCCTGCCATCTTGAGACCCGGTAGATTAGATCAGTTGATTTACATCCCATTACCAGACGAGAAGTCTAGAGAGGCCATTTTCAAATCGAACCTGAGGAAATCTCCTATCGCCAAGGATGTAGATTTAGGATACATAGCCAAAGTGACACACGGTTTCTCTGGTGCTGATCTGACCGAAATATGCCAGCGCGCTTGCAAGTTGGCCATCAGGCAGAGCATTGAGAGCGAAATCAGGAGGGAAAGGGAGAGGGCGATGAATCCCAATATTGCCATGGACGTGAGTGTTTTTTTGTTTATAGATTTAGCCAATAGGTGTAACAAATATGTTTGAATGGGTTTTTTTGTTAACCAGCTGATGTGTCCTAACAAATTTATAACTCGGTACTAGATACTTGTGTGAACTGAGGATTAAGGAGGTTTTACCTTTGAACATGCGATTCGTAACACATGCTTTCTTGAAACAATATTTGTTTACTTTTATCAACATCAGTAATAATTATTCAGTCGTTTATAAAAGTGGAAGCCGTTTTTAAGATTGTCATGATGATATAAATTGAATAATGATGCACTATTTTGAGGCTTTTCTATGACACTCCTCATAATACCCGAAATCACATTAGCAATATGGAACTGCCTATTCCCACAAGCTAATTAGTTAGGGACTCAATTAATATCAATGGCATCAAACTGTTCAATCACCTGCCTGTTATTATAAAAGAAATACATTTTTACAATAAATTCAGAAAAGAGGCCAAAGTGTTTCTGGTTGATAATAATAATAATAATAATCATATTTATTAATCCAATAAAATCACATGCGGACATATAAGTCACATTAGTAGTTAAAAAGAGTACATTCTAAAATAAAATTTAAAATAATATTAGTTATATAGAGATAACGTGGTAGTACCTGGTGTATAAAGTGGGTGTATTGTTATAAGTAAATTATATAACATTAAAACTAGACTAAACTTTCATTACAAAATTCATTCAATCTGTAGAAGGGAGTCCGAATGAGTATTTATTTGAGTTTTAACTTAAAGTTGTAGGTGGTAAGTGATTTCAGAGTGGGGGTAGAGGTTGTACACTTTAATTCCCATAACTGTGGGACTCTGGCTGGTAATTTGTAGGGTGTGGTTTGGAAATATTTCTTGTATTTTCCTTGTGGAATATGGGTGTGTATTATTCGGACAGTTGGTTCGGTGCTTTCTATCATGTGCAAAGCATGCTATTTCCAGTATATACAGGTTGACCACTGTTAAAATGCCTAGGCGTGTAAAAGTACTTTGCATGGTTCAAGATAATGAGAAGAGGTCATACATCTAATTATCCGTTTTTGGGCAGTCAGTATATTATTCACTGCAGATGAAGTCCCCCACAAGCAGATACCATAATGCAGCTGGGACTCAATTTCACTGTGATAGATAGATATCATTTAAAAATTCTCTAAAAGTTTTGAAAAGATAAATTTTTTTACCCAGAGTGGATATTAGCTTAGAGTAATGGTTCTCCTCTGGGTATACCCCTAGAAATTTCGTTGAGCTGTTTTGTATGAGGTGCTCTGGTTCTATAATTATAGTATATATATGGTCTATAGATTTTTGCCGTGGGTGAAAATTTATGAAGTTCGTTTTGGTTGTGTTCAGGACCAGATTATTAGCAGAAAACCATTCACTTGCCTTTTTCAGGGCAAGGTTTGCTTTTGCCTCTGTATCTAGGGAATCTGAACCAGTTATTAGAAAATTTGTGTCATCTGCATACATTGTGACGTTGTGGTCTCCAGTGTAGCATGGTAAATCATTAGTGTACAGAATAAATAGTATAGGCCTAAGTATGGAGCCTTGAGGTACCCCTATATTAATGGTGGAGGTTTCTGATCTGATTTTTTGTTTTGGTTATCATGAAGTCTATTACTCAGTTTAGGAGTATTTTGATGATACTTTCGTCTCCTGATACACTCAAGAACTAATATTTTCTCGCTTAGTATTTATACATTTTTGTATGTTCTATTTTATTTATATATTTCAACTCATACTGTTTGTATTTTTAGATGTATTTTCTTCTGACAAAATATATTTGATTCGATGAAAGTTTGTTGAAAAAAGTACAAGAGACTAGTTTTCCTGAAAGGACATATAGGTTTAAAACGTTTTTTTTTTTCAGTTGGACGAAGACGATCCGGTCCCAGAAATCACCAGGGCCCACTTCGAAGAGGCCATGCGCTTTGCCCGAAGGTCAGTTTCTGATAACGATATCAGAAAATACGAAATGTTCGCGCAAACTCTGCAGCAGTCTCGAGGCTTCGGCACGAACTTCCGCTTCCCGACGGCCGCCGGGGGGCCGGCCGCGCCCGGGGGTACCGGCGGGGACCAGGCCAACTTCCAAGACGATCCCGAGGATGATTTATACAGTTAGGCGAACGAGGGATCAACAGCAGTTAGCGACGGTTTTATTTTTTGTATTTATTTACAATTAAAAATACTTCAGTTGGATATCAATATCTAAATATGAAACTATTATTATCAAATTCATATGTTGGTTCATAGTTTTGATTATAAATAAAAAGTTTGTCCTAGTTGTACTTTTATTTTTTTTCATTGAGAGTTTCCTGCAGAATGGGTAATTAAAAGTGAAATTGAAAAAATATTCTCAAGAGACATCTTTTGTCCAGATTAGTAGCCTAAATTACTTTGAAGCAAAGTTATCTATTCAGGTGATTTACACGATTTTTTTAATTTCAACTTCTACTATCGATTAACAGAGGTCGCCATTAAAAAAAAAATTTGTATGGTAGGTAGATAGACGTATCCTTCATTGTCCAAGGAAATACAATCTTATTGATAAAGCTTGTTAAAAAATCTGGTAAATATAGCACTTCAATTGAATAAAAGAAAAGAAAATTCAAAAACACAATTTGAGCAAAACTAAGGTCACTTTCTAATAGATGAAATATAACAATAGAAAATGAAATTTAACAAAGTTTGTAGACAAAATAGTTTGTATAGTCCCTTTCAAAAGATGTAAATGAAAAATATACATATTTTTAACATAAGTTCACATGTCATGGCAATAAAATGAATAATATCCCTGTATAAAATATAATTTAAAGTATAGGTGTCAATATAAACAACAAAAAAAAACACCTAGATTTAATCACAGCAAAGTTCCATTGGAATATTCATCAAGGTTGTAGTACGCTTTAGTTGCAAGGGCATCTTTAACAAGATTTCCGAACTTTTTTCCTTCCTAATTTCATAAGGTATGTGATTATACAGCTTTTTACTTTCATAAATTAAAGAATACTTTGTCTGGCTTGTTTCTGGAACAGAAAGATGTATTTTATTTTCAGTTACTTGCCGGGTTATGCAATTTGTATGTTCCGGAGTTCCATCCATATTATGTCTTTTGTAAATCAGGCAAACAGTTTCAAGTATGAAAATACGAGTAACAGTGAGAATTTTTTCTCTCAAAAATAATGGTCTGCATGACACACACTCCCACCTTGCATAAGTATCTAACCGCTCGCTTTTGCAAAACAAACACTGAATGAAAAAGTTGTTGACTGCAAAATCCCCAAAAGGCGACACCATATCTCAGGTAGGACTCAATCAGGGAATGATATACCATTTTTGTTGTGGATGAACTCAGTTCATTTGAAACTATTCGAAGTGCATAACATCCTGATGCCAATTTTTTATTCAAAACATGTTGATCAAATTTTAATTTGTTATCCATGAAGATTCCCAGGAATTTCATGTCATGAATGCAACAATTTTTTTGAGAGGCTAAAGAGTACTTGGAAAGAAAAAATCATTGTAATGATAAATTTTTATTGAAATCCAGACAATCAATAAATAACACGTGCACATAAATCACATTAAAACAACAATGTATAAAGTGTAAATTTTTAAATTACATAACAATTTCCTAGAATATTACTTATACACCAAAAGCACATTTCACGCCTATTTTCTTAGACCTTTCGAATAATTCACCAGAAATAATAATATATCACAATTAAAAGAGTTCTTGAAAAAGGTAAAATAAGAGAAGGGCGTGAAAAATGCGTATTGCTCTATTTCAACTGGTCCGCTCTTCATAATCACTTCTGGATAAAATTATTATTGTTGCATCAAGTAAAAAAACACATCTAAGGAAATCTCATCCACCAGAACGAAATAGTTTATACAGTTAAAAAAAATACTTTTCAAACGATAATATGAACTTTTGGTTTCTATGATAATCTCAAGCATCTCTAATTATTTAAAAGCTACAAGCAGTTTTGGGCCTTGAAATGAAAATTTCATAATTGATAAATCGGGAGTATAAAAGTTGACTTGCCCCAAATTTTACATTGGTCCAACGGGAATGGTTGCCCCCAAAAGAATGAAAGAACACGTTAATAGTTTTACGAATTAGAAGACCAATTAATCAATTGCAAATCTCATTTTGGGAGGGGGACATGGGTTCTCGATCATTTAGAATAATTCTCTTATGGTAAATTCGTTAACTGATGATGAAATTTATATTGAGTTGGATTATTTTAAGTTTGTACAAAAACCTAACTTGAAATTATCCTCCTATCAATTTTAATAAACTTGTTCTTAGAATGGTGTGGTCATTAGTAATTGGATAAAGTATTGTAATTCCATTGGCATGAGGGTCAAGCAAAGAGTAACAAGCTATTTTCGTTGAGAACTCATCTCCTACCAATTATGGATTCAATAGTCCAATGTCAAAAATGTTAAGGGAGGCTAATGCATCAGAACTTGATTTTCTTACATACTCCTTGGAGGTGTTCAAAAAGTCTGCAGTCAATTATGTATTTAGTCTATAGATTTACACCTTGTATGTTTGTTATTATTAGGGCTGATGTTTCTTTTAATTGTTTTATTTAGCATTCAGTATTTGTATTGCTTTTTATTTAATGTATTTCAAAATTCATACGAATTTTGTAAGTGTATTTGGATTGAAGTATATTTTTATACATGTATAATTCACAAAATTGTAACTTAGGGTTTTTCCTTTTTTACCGAATAAATAAAAAAATGTATTGATACATTTTAAGAAAAACATATGTAACACAACTGAAACATTTTTATATACTAAATTACGTATTGCCGTTTTTGCAAACTGTTTAGTGTAGATCTCACAAACCTTTGGAAAACACTGCAGCCTCGTGAGCTTATCGAATCCATTCAATTTGATATTGCACTTATTTATAAAAAATTCAGTTTATGTGACCTGAATAGAAACTTTCGATATTTAAAAAATAAACCACCTTTCATCAAATGATGAATTCATTACCTTAGATTTCAACTTGGTAGATACTTCATTTGACTAAAGAAATGAATCAGTTCAAGGTAGATTTAAGTTTCCAGTAGTAAATCAGAAGAATTTGGATCACTGAAATATACTTTCAGTTACATGAAGAGTCAACTTTGAACTGTAATGACTTGAAACTTAAGACTAATAAGTAGTTAAATTTGATGTGAAAGCTTTATCAACGATATTTCATTTATTCAGACTCGTGACTGAAAACTGCCTTTTCCATTTTTAGTCCTAAAATTGTTGAAAACTACAAACAGCTTCGAATCGATAAGAAACCAGAGGAGGCACACAAACATAAAAAGCATCACAGTATCGGTTCACATCCAGACGAACTCACCTTCACCGAAGATCTTCATCCGTACAACTTCTCCAATATGGTGGTGGGCGCATCTGCTTGATACCGAGAAATCTGCTTCAGGAGTGCGAATTTTTTCATGCGGCCTTTAGAAGACTCCATGTCGTACAGGGTGCACAAATTCAACAGGAGCGACTCGTGGAGGGCATGCACAGGATTGGAGGCGATGGCTGATTCGAGCACCTGAATGGCTTCTTTCAAATGTCCCCCGTACAGGAGGCACACCCCCATGTTGTTTAGGATCTATTTAAGAAATATGAGTTGAATTGAATCACCAGTACAGTAGAACTCCATTTATTTGAAGTCTATCTGGGACACTTTTGGGGAATTTTTTCAGCTTAGACTTTCCAAACGATATTTATAAACAATGCACATTCAGAGAAAAAATGATTGAGCAGTAATTTTTATACTATACGTATATAATAAGACTCAGTACTTCTTTCCAAGAATTTCTAGTAATTTATATATGGAAACTATAATCACTGATTTCAATAGTATAACGGCATATTGATTACTGTTCAACAGTCCTATAGATAGATAGATAATATATTTGTCTCTTTAGGTTGTTCTTACAACACCAGATATGTCAAAAAAAAATGAAAAACAAACAACAAGTACAAACACATTAACAATAGTCAATTTCACACAAAAGTTAAAACATATTGGATGGATACATATTTAAAACAGTACATATAATGCATACTACATAGATGAAAATGAATCAGCCACACTTTTGAATGAAATCGTCTAAAGTATAAAATTCTCCTTGGATTAAGAACTTTTTCAGTGTATGTTTAAAAGTTTTTATTTTTGTTTCCGATTTGATGCTTTCAGGCAATGAGTTGAATAAATATGCCCCTGCATACAGAGGTGATTTTTTGTGATGTGATCTGAGTATGGGATGTAAGTGAAAGTCATTTTTCTTTCTCGTATCGTATCTGTGGTACTCACTGTTTTTGTTTAGTTTTCCTTTATTTAAAAAGGCATACGTCAGTAATTTATACAAATAAATAGATGTGAATGTTAAAATATCGTTAATTGTGAAGGTGTTCCTACACGATTCTCTGTAGTCTAAATCATATTCTGATGAACTTTTTTTGTATTCCAAAGACTCTGGATGTTTCTGTGGACCTTCCCCATTTTATGATGTTGCAGCTGATGGTGCTATATACCAGTGCATAATATAAATTAATCAAGTAAGGTCTATGAAAATTTGACTAAAGTGTATAGAAAGCATAATATAGTTTATTTAGTTTTTTGCAAATATAATTGGTTGTTAAATGAGAACTTTAGTCTAGTTCCATACCTAAGTATCGTGCTGACTCTGATGTGTTTATTTCAATATCATCAATATTTATTGTAAGATTGTGTGTTCGCCTTAGGGGACTTGTAAACTTTATGAACACCATTTTGTCTGTATTGTTAATTAGATGATTCACCTCACACCAGTGCGCAAATTCCTCTGTAACCAATTTAATTTTCTTTTGGAATTCAGTAGCGGTGTCAGTCACACAACAAACTGTCTCAACTACAAAAATTGCAGAATCGAGGAATGAGAATAGTCTTGAGAACAAATTGATACACTCCTCATAATGCTATGTTGAATCCTCTACAATGATTCTATTGACAATATTTCTCAAATTCCAATATTTTTCTGTTTTCTCTGTATACTTTTGTACCAAAGAATCGCATTGCTTTACATTCATTTGTAGCATTTGCAATGAAATGGTAGTCAGATATTTTTTTGACTGACTGATGACTTATATGAATATTGTGCAATATTTGTGAGAGTAATCATGTGCAATTTTTTGTTGGAGTTTCATCTGATAAACTGTTATTTCTGCAGGACATTTCAATGATCAAGTGTGGAGGTGAAACAAAAAAATAACTTCAATTAAATATTTGATGGAGTCGACAATTTTGTGCAAATAAAGCTTACAGAGGCGTTTTTTTGTCATTATTCCATGACTAAAGCCTGTTATCTCAATTGAAAGAACCTCATTCAATAATAATCTATAGAACACGTTAATAGTT